ATTTTTTTATTCCAGTTGTTCCCAAAACCAATCCACATATTTACACCCCACCAAAGCCTAGGCTGTGCAGCCCTATGACAGGAAATGACATCTTTAGAAATAAAACGTCATCAAGATTCTGCTAATCCTCTGAAAGACACAATCTCCATGTCAATGTTGTTTAGGAGCATTAAAGGTTTTTAGCCAATCGTCAGCACTGGACCAGTGATCTATGAGCACTGACCACGACGGCCCACGTTCTGGCCCCTTTAAGTCCATTAAGGCCCCTCTTGTGAGTGTGTCACTTACATTCATAGCTGCGATGTCGTTCTCGTAGGCCTCCCTGACCTTCTTCATGACCTCCACCTCGGCCAGGCAGCAGGCCTCGATGGAGCCTTTGACGGTGATGGTCCTCTCCGGGTTGTACAGCGTCAGGTCCTGCAGGCTGTGGACAGAGGAGCCCTCTTACATGTAGCCCCCTCAGGGCCTCTGGGCCCAGAACTAGGCTGCTGCGGCGGGGTCTTACGGGGAGATGGTGATCTTGGTGTCTGTGTCCTGCTCCACTTTCTTCAGGTTGCGACCCTCTTTCCCGATAAGACGCCCGACAAAGTTGTTGTGGGCCAGAATCTTCAGAGGGACCTCGTCGGCCCTGAAACACACCCCTGGTTAGCCCGGTGTGAATGACAGCTGGACAGGGGTCTGCGGGGGACACCTACGTCTTGGTGTCCTTGGCCTCCTGGTGCATGATGTCCAGGATCATGCGGCAGGCGGCCGAGCAGCCCTCCGGGGTGGAGTGGACGCTGATGGGCTTCTCCGCTGCCCCGGCGTTCTCCTTCCGGTGGACATCGATCCTGCAGTCACACAGAGTCTTTACCCACCCCACCCAGCCGCTCCTGCCTCAGCTCAGCACAGGCCGGGGGGGGGGGGCACCTCCAGGCCTCCAGGGACAACGTCCTGCAGGTTTAGGAGGTTTTCCTGCCTGTACACACCTGACGCAGATCAAACCGATCTCTGCGGCCCAAAGGGGACCGGAGCTCTGAAACCTGCAGGACGGCACCCCAAAGGGAACCAGAGCTCTAAAACCTGCAGGACGGCAACCCAAAGGGGACCGGAGCTCTAAAACCTGCAGGACAGAACCCCAAAGGGGACCGGAGCTCTGAAACCTGCAGGACAGCACCCCAAAGGGGACCGGAGCTATAAAACCTGCAGGACAGCACCCCAAAGGGGACCAGTGCTCTAAAACCTGCGGGACAGCACCCCAAAGGGGACTATGGTCCCTGAGGACCAGGGCTGAGAAACTCTGCTATCTAAATCTTCACCCACTTGCTCTGTGTCTGCTTGGTGATGTTGCGAATGGTGGCTCCTTCTTTGCCGATGATGGCTCCGACATACTGCGTGGGCACGAGCAATCTGAGAGGGATGTCGGCATGTGGAGCTTTAGGGGGCATCCCAGAGCTGGGGGACCCCCCCCGGAGCCCGCCACGAGGCCCATAGCCAGGACGCCGGCCGTTGTCAGGCCCCCGCTGTCCTCCCTCCACCTCAGACGTCTCGTCAGGGATGTAGGAGACGCGCAGGGCATTGTTTTCAAACTGGTACCCGTTCAGTTTCTGGATGGCTCTGTGGGGACACAGAGAAGCTTGTACAAGGACTGAAGTGTACCAGACTTCAAAGTCAGTGCCTCACCGTTCTAAGTAATAATAAAAAAAGCTATTTTAAATCTGAGTTGTGTTCTGTGTCAGTGATCAGATCTGTAGGGATGATGAGCCCTGGCTGTGCAGCAGTGCATGTCTCACTAACGGCCACTAGATGGCAGACGTGTACCACAGCAGACCGGTCAGGCCCTGAACGCCACACAAGCGTAAGGGACCTTCAGCTCCCGTCCTCGTAAAGGACTTAAATCATCAGGAGTGGTCTTATGAGGCCGTTTGGACACAAATGCCTATTCCGAAATAAATAAAATAAACTCGATTTACAGAATGATGCAGACACAAAAGCTTTGCAGCACCTGATCAGGATTTGACAGCCAACGCACAAATATTCATTTCAGAAACACTCCAGTTGTTCATAATTAGCAGAAGTACTAAATAATACTCAGATAATTATCTAGATCATTTTAAAGAGGGGCATAGTGACTTACTGTCTGGCGTGTTCCCGGGATGCATAGGTAACATTAACCACTGCGGTCTCACTGTCTGTGTTGACTGAAGAAGAAAAAGGATGTTGATTTACAGGGCATCCCACAGTAGCATCTACAGCAGCAGTGGAGGCCTAATATGGAACACATTGCATGTATCTGCACCTGGAAATAAAGCTCCCATTTTAAAAAGCAGGTGCAAACAATCTGGCTTTTCTTTGTCCTCCTTAAAAGATGCTCAGACACATCAAGTGTTCCAAACAACCAAACAACATCTATCAAGGAAGAGGTCTTAAACTGGATTTAAACTAGTTATGTCTGAACTCATTCAGAGATATATCACAGGTCTGGTCAGCTCTGTGAGCACAGCATAGGTGGTGTGATAGATCTGTTTACCTCTCTCTGTCAAACACTTTATGGAAGAAAACTGTCCGGAAAAAAAAACTACAAATGTTTTGGGGGAAAAGACTCCTGCATCATTAGTCTGGAGAATTAAACCCTTAATCCATCCAGAGTCCCACCTCTGTCACACAGTAGCACGCTATCTTAGACACAGGGGTTCAGAGAAAATGAAGCATTATTTAATCCAGAAATGACACACATGGAAAAGAAAGAAAGGCTAAAGTTGTGCCGCCTCACCTTGTTCACAGTTTTCAACAGTCCCACACTGGGCCAACAGGCCATCCAGCACCTGAAAACCACACAAGCAACACAACTGTCAGCCGAGCTGCGAACAAACAACTGAATGAAGGCATAAATAACAGTCATTTATTTAAGAGGCCGTATCATTTACTTTACTCCTTTAGGCCTACATTTCATTCTCTAAGGGGCCTTGATGTTAGACGTCTCAGGCACATCAAACTGCTTTTATATTCCAAAGGGATTCAAACTTCCTGTTTATTGTTGCTATCAGTGTAATAAAAAGAAAACGGGCCCAGTCTGGCACACACTGGGCAGCAGATCCCACTCCCGGCCCAGAGTCAGCGTTTCCTCCTCTGCCTAAAGGCCCGTCATGGCTGCCTTTTGCGGAGAGACGTCGCCCTCACGTGGACGCGGGTGGCAGGGCCGACACACACACACACACACACACACACACCCCGGGCCTCACAGAGAGGCTGGCGCTGGAGGCCCGTGGGCCACACATGAGCCGAGCAGCCACGCCCGGCCCAGCCTCAGAGGATGAACTGATAGCTGAACATGTGGACGGCAAACAAAGATCTGCAGTTGTAAAGAAGGTTGTTGTGAGACTGCAAGCCGGCTCTACTGATAATGTTATCTGGACTGGTCTCATCTGTGGTTCCACGCTGGTGGAACGACCTCACAAGACTATCAGAGCATCAGTCTCTTTGCTCCTTCAGAAACCCTCCAAGACCCATCTGAAGACCGGTTTATTATTCTTACCGGCTCTGTACTTGTAGTACCGGTCGCTCTGTTAGATTTGAACCAAAAACTATTTAAAAACATGCTTTGTTCCAGTTTTCCCTCGTGTAGTGCATACTCCCAGTTTTCATGGCTTTTGATTCATAAGATTCTTTTTTTTAGCTTATTTAAATTGTGTTGGAATCTAATTGAATTGTACCTAAAAGATGTAAACAGTGCCATGCTCACTTTCTATATTTTAAATTAAATTACAATTGAATTTTTCTTATATATATATATATATATATATATTATTTTTCAAGGGACGGACAGATAGATAGATAAAATGTTAAAGCCTCTTTTTGGATAAAAGCCTCTGCTGATTGCAGAAATGTGAAGGATGAGTGGTGTGAGCAGACAGTGTGGAGGGCTGCGTACTCTAAACTGGGAGTGTGGCTTTGCTTTGAGCCCTCCAGCAGCCATAAACACCTCCAGCACCAACACAAGCCTGAGGAGCTGCAAACACCTGCAGCCTGAGAGCTGGAGACTGGAGCAGCCTCAGCTCATCCCCTTCAGGACCCCCACCCAGATCCCTTTAGTCACCTCTGAATCAGTACGCAGCAAAACACCGTCCAGTGCTCTGATTTGTTGTACTTTTATCCTTATTTTTCATGAGTTCAGAACTCCTGAAATCAAACAAATCTGATATTTCCTAAAAGACACAGGCAGCAGGTCCTCAGTTGCACATAAAGACATGATGCGCGGGCTGTAATGGAGTGTGTTTGTAGTCAAACTGAGCCCCCAAAGCGCTGTGCAGAGCAGCCACAGACACACACACTGGCACACAGCAGGTAGGCAGCAGGGGTCCAGTGTCTGGACTCTTGGACAGAGGGCCTGGACTAACACAGAGCTGGACACCTCCCTGCAAACGGCAGAGAGCTGCTCTTCCTCCACCCCAACAGGCAAGTGTTCACACAACAGAACACTAAACACAAACCCATGGCCAGTCAGGAGGCCAAAAACATGGCCCGGAATGAGGAGATATTCTGAGAAAGAAAGCCTTCGTATTGAAATGTCCCAGATATTTAAGATTACCCCACATCTGGCTGCCAGCTGTGGTCTCATTTGGAGTTTTTCCCAAAGTATTCTTAAGCGTTTTTTTATCAAAATTGTCATTTTGGCAGCAGGTCAGCTTCCCATGAGCAAGCGGAAACGACTTTTGGAGCGACATTCTCATCCCGCACCTTTGTGTCTCTACAAAAATAACTTTGATCCCAACGTTTAGTCAAAAACTGCAGATCTCTTATCCCTTTCACAGAACTCAGCATTCATTTTACAGACATCTTTACCAAATCCACATGGAAAAACACAGTTTCAGTCATTCACATTAGAGGGATGGGGACCAGAGACAGTTTATTGTAAAGCTGTGGACGCAGGACTAAGTGTGTGAGTCCCAGCGAGAACATAATGAAGGTGACAGGAACTCACCTCCCACTGCAGGTGAGGTGGGATGTTTCTGATCTGCAATTTCCTCGTCCTGTGGGGAGAACACACAGAAACACAGAGAAATTCAGCTTTGCAAACAGAAGCAAAAGAGACCTTTGTGATTTCAGAAGATTTTAAAGTTTGACCTGAATCCAGACGACACACATCTGTACAACTCACAGGCCCTCAGGGTCCTGGCTCATAACTGAAGGCCCACCTGGACAAGCTGCCCGTCAGAACACACCACCTACTTTTAAAGGACTCCCAGCTGTTTACAGGAAGGTGATTTGGAACCAGTCCTTAAAAATGTGCTCTAAATACAATTCAAAGATTCACGTATCCAAAAGCTTTATTTATCCCAAAAGAAATTGCCATACAGGATGAAACTAAAAAAATGCAACTAAAGTAGGGAAAAGTTAAATTTGGCTGCCTTCAGCTGGTGGACCGAACTCATCTCTGACAACAGCCCTCATCTCCCCCCAGCATCTGCATGGACTCTGGGGGTGGGACCACCACCCAGCCACCTCCACAGCATGAGTCCACTTCATGCCCCATAGCTCCTGGAGAGACACAGGACAAAGGTCCCATTTGTGATGTAAAAGCAGGATGGGTGCTCTGGTTCTAACACCAGCGGATGTTTAGGTGATACAGGGAGGAGGCCTGCAGCCCAAATCCTGCTAGCTTCATTCGGAATTTCGTTAGCACTGAAATGTAATGCTGACTTGTAATTGTGTCAATCATTTAAAAATCAACAAAGTTGGTGCAAACCCCTGATTTCTGGGTGCATTGCAGGTATCAAATGAAAACCACCACCAACAGGGTCCGAGGAGATCTGCTGTCCTCGTGTTAGCCACATGCTACCAGACCGGGAACAGAACATATGTGCTACGTAAAGCATGTTGTTTTGAGGCCCGCCCATCCATCTAACTTTCCCGCCCATGCTTAAGCGGTTGCCATGGTTTCAGCCAATGGGCTAAGCCATGGAGAGGCAGGTGGCAATGGCTGGGGTCAAACAGGTTTTCTGATGAAGGTCTGATGGGGGTTGGGTTGGTTGTGAGGGGGTTTTGGAGGAAGGGTGGTGGCTTACAAAGGCACTGGAGAGGATAATGAGGAGGTGAAACTTTGGGCTGGGGTGCATCACAGGGAGGGAAGGTTTTGATGTCCAAGGAGGTGGTTTCTCATGCAGAGGTGTTTATGGTGGAGTCTGGAGGTAGTGACCAAAGATCAGGCAGCTTTCTGTTTGTTTTTTTATTTCAGGATGGGGGCTGTCAGGTATTCACAGAGCACAAAAGACTATTCATCTAGCTGGAGCCTCATGGGGCTTTGGGTGGGGTCTGGCTTTGTAGGGGAGACTTGAAGAGAGGGGGTTGGTTCACGCCACTGATGCTCACTTGGATGTGATCAGCGATTGTTAAACATAGCAAAGGGTGCTAAAGACGGGACCTGGTCTTGTTCTGTGTGGCATGTTATTCAGGTCATGGGTTCTACTGGAGACCACAGCTGAATTTATTCCTCCCCTCTCCTTTAATGAGCTTCATTAAAGCCGACAAGTGTGGAACTGATGATGGGAGCTGCATTCCAGTTTAACTTCAGGGATTCATTCCCCTCCTTCTCAATACATGAGCCAGGGAACCAAATGCAATCATTTCAATATATAAACATAACCCTAGGGGTGTCTTAAGCCCACCTATTAGAGTATGATATTCAGAAGTCACAGAAATTCAAACCCAGGAGGCCACAGAGCCTGGAAACCCATGAAGAAATCAATAAGCTGGAAAGAGCCATTCCCAAACCAATGCACCCATCAGAGTCCCTCCCAGCTCCTGAGCACTGCAGCCTGGGCCTCAGCTCTGCTCTCGGCCTGCTTCAGGAGAGCCCGGCCGTCTCCACCTCCCGTGGCGCTGAGAGGAAGAGACTGGGCTGCTTTCACCTCCACCCGTTCAACAGCTCAACCCGCTCATCTGGGCTCTGCCTGGTACCCATGCATGTTTGTGCATGTGTGCCCAGCGATTAGCTGAGCCAGCACGGCTGTGGTCATGTCCACTGGCCGAGGAGCCAAGTGGCTCCAAGCTTAGCAAAAATGAAATTGTTGGGGACAAAGACCCAAGTAAGAAAGGAATACAGAGTGCTTAGAAAATGAAGAGTGTGGTTTTCATCGGTGGTGGACGAGAGAACAAGCCCTTGCTTTAAGAAGGGGTTAAAGGTCGGGGGTCAGCCCTTCAGGGCAGAGAGAGGAGGCCCCTGGTCTGCACCAGGGTAACATGCAAATCCAGTCAGTGTGTGGGCCTCCAGGCTTTGAAGGCACCCCCACTGCCTTCTGTGTAGGAGCCAGACACTCTTGTGTGTGCTGTGGCACATCCCGCTGACGGCCAGGAGCATGCTCAGTGACACCGAGCACACAACAGCTCTAGCAGATATCCACATGCACGCATGGGTGAGAGTACCTATGAAGATCCACCTACATCTGGCCTCTGAATACGATGTGAAAGTGTTTCAGGTGTGGTTTGCTTTTGTGAAACGAGCAAAAAAACACCTGCCAAAGCCAACTGAGAATGTGCAGAACTTAGCACCGAGACTGAACTACAAACAGGACAAAGAGACGCTTTCTGCTCATTTCCTCCTTGCAGAGACGACTAGCAGTCAGCTCCAGCCGTTCATCTCTAAGCTCATCGTCCTCCACACATTCCAGATGGCTCTCATCATCTCTGGAGTCTGTGGCTGGCACCTCTGTAATGCACCTGAGATGTCACAGTTTGAGTTTAGGCTGCCCGAAAGCAGCAGTTTATCTGGTAAATAACCCTAAAAGATAAATAACCCTAAAAATAGCCTTTTTACCAGCTGGAAGGTCAGAGGTTCCTTTCCCATTTAATACTCTACACACACACAAGAAAAATAAAAGAAAGACACTTATAAAGAAACTAAAGCCACTTTCCCTGTCATACAGACTTTTACTTGCACATCCAATGTATACAGCTTTTTTCAACGCTCATGTCTACTGTGGTTTGCATGTGTCAAAAAGATATTATCGCCGAAGTATAGACCAGAGGAAATACGGCAGCTTAAAATCGTGTTCCTGTCTCCTTCTGGGCCCAAAGCACAAAGTCGTGCTGCATGACACTGAGCCACGATGACCTGAGCCAAGGTTAGACTTCAGAGACAGCAGCAGCTAGCCTCACCGGAGAGTTTCCAGAGACTTAAGGACATTTAGAGGGATGAAGCCTAAATTTGTATGCTGCAAGGCCAATTGTTTATCATTATTATCAGTAGTCATTAGCTTAACATGATGCAACTGCTTTTGGATCCTAAGCCACATTTAACCAACTGATATACTGTAGTTTCAGGAGCAGAGCACAGCTTTCAGAGCCATGGTGAACCACATATGATAAAATTGATTTATTCCCAAAAGCTGATGTTTTTCTCCATCTGAGGACGCCCTCTCCACAATATTAGCCGCTTTTTAGAGGACAAGACGCAGGCTCACAGTTAGGTCTCTCTCCATGCTTGGTATTTTTTCTTCTTCTTTTTTCTTTAGAAGGTTCTTTTTAATTCAACCCAACAAGCAGTGTTAAAAGAGGTCAGTGGGAGTAGCTGAAATAATGTTTTATGGTCAGAAAAAGATGAAGCTCACACACCTCTATCACTACCTGATTATTCATGAGGGCCACAGCAGACAGTCTGAATAGCCTTCTTTTTGTCCCTCTGAGCAGAACAATAGATGTATAGGAAACATGGAACAGAAATAGAATCTACAAATAGATACATATTTTTTTATGTTTTAATGCAACTGAATTTTAAGTGAAAAAAAAGTGAGATGGCTGTGTAATAACAGTTTATTTAGTACCAATGATAGTAATTTAATGTAACAGCCTATAGTTACAATGCACTGCTGAGGTTAAAGAGGAAAAAGGAGCCAGCCACTGAAATCTGTTCATAATAAAGCAGAGTAATGGCAGTTTATCTGTGTGAACGTGTCAATTTATGGGAAACCCTTTGAAGAGGAGGCAGATTATGATAGCTTTTTTAAATGGGGAGGGCAACATGTGGAACACAGAGAGGCTTTGGCTCTGAATTCATTATGGCCACAGAAGAAAAGGGGAGGGGGCAACATTAGGCAACGGGTCAGAGTTCAGGCTCTGCTCTCCTCCGTGACCCCGGCCTCCATTTCACAGAGACGAGGTTCGCCATTTTGAGCCATGCTCCCACACAGCGTCTCGCGCTGCCTTATCCGGCTTCCCCGCCGGCGGGAACCATCCCGGCGGCCGGTGCGGGTCGGACCGGGTCGTGTGAGGCTGCAGAGGCGGTTCTTTATTTTTCAGAAGCTACTGGTTTTAGCTGGAAGGCTTGGTGCGCGTGCTCCGGCTGTATGCTGAGCCCGCCGCCCCCTCCCCCAAGCCTCCGCGTGCAGGAAAGCCGCGAGCCTGGGCGGGAGACGGCGGGCCTCAGCAGGAGCCAGGTGTCCAGCGACAGGGCCGAACTACAGCCCTGGTAACGGCGGAACGGCCACTTCCGCCCTGAACGCGGCGGCCTGACACTCTGTAGCTACAGGGGTCACGTCACGTCCAGCCTTTTCCACGCGCCCGTCCGCGGCTCGTTCGAGCTTCCATTTCCCGAATGTGGGACTGGCCGCCGTCCCACCAGCTCGGGCCCTGCTCCCTCACGGTCAGGAGGCGAGTCCCTGGGCTGTTTCTGACTCCATGTCCAACGCAACGCCATCTTTCCTCTCTTTGTCTCTGGCGCGCGCACGGCTCTGGCCGCGTGCACGTGGGAGAAAGTAAGCGGCCATCTTAAACAGGCAACGCCCATTTACTACACAGAGTAAGCGGTCACGTGACAGTGCCAGAGCAGGGAAAGAGGCGCGCGCTCTGCCCTCCACCCGGGGCTCCACGGCCACGCGCCGTCACAAGGACGGAGCTGAGGACGCCGAATAATCTCCACCTGTTAGTGGCGGCGTGCCCTGATAGCAAGACGCACGAGCACGCGCTCATACGCGCGCTTCACCTTCAATCTCCACATTAGCCCGGCAGCCCACCTGCGTCACTATTAGCCATAAGCAGCTTAAAATGAGCCTCTAATGGCAGCCATTGAGCAGATCTGTGCCCCGGCGCGCGCACGTCACTGCAGCGTGAACGCGCGCCCCATTCATCAAATGGCCCGCACGCACGAAGCAGAGGCCTGCCCCGGACGGCCAGGTGTCCTGGAAGCT